GCTCTTTATCGCTTTTCACGTGTATTTTTAGTACGAATTGTTTTTCTAACATTTCGCGCTTTATCAACGTCACTTGCTACCTGTCTGCTCGTGCATTCAAGTCTATAAATTGTGCCCCATTTTGCAAACAGCATTGGTTTTCTTTATATTTCCTGATATGCGACTCTGACATTTTTGGATTGTGGAAAAGCGCCTCGTAATCGACAAATCGTATTCGGCGACGCGCACGCAAAATGTTGACCCAGATTTTTTGAGGTTGAAAAATGACAGCGGAAAGTGACTATCGGCGTTATATAGGAAAGAGTGAGACTAAATATAAATTTTAGTTTAATATTTACTAATGTGTTAGTATTGGTAAATAACGTTGTGTGTAAGGAATATTTTCATTAAAAAATCGAAAAATTGCATTGGAAATAGCCAAAGGTCAAGTGGTTTTCGGGTTCTCTTTAACTCACTCTTGTTGTCCCAAAACTCATAATTTTGCTCACTATTAATTATAGAGTATTGGTTAGGTCGTGGGGTTGATGCAAACTCGTTAAATCTCATTTGGATGAATTTCCATCCTTTGTGTTACACAAAAACTCTTAAATGGTTTCTGGTGATCCCTCATCGTTCGACGAATCGTTTTGTGCTTACCACAAACTTATTAAGACGGTTAATATCAATACTAAGCACTTCACTGGGTTCGAAAAGGGGTTTCTACCGCGATATTTCAATCTCAGTTTGACGATAGCCGGGAAATAGAGAATGCAGTTGCAATACGATGCCACCTCGCCTTTCTCCTATAGCTTTGGCAAGGAGCGGCCGGTAGATATTTAGCCGCGCCGCGTGTCACTCTATTGGACAGTGTCCAGTCAGAATACCTATAAGTGTGCCGAGAATGTTCAAACAAATTCTTATTTAGTCAATTAGGAAAATTTCAGTAAGTTAACCTCTAATTATTCTCAATTTTACCTTCAGTGAAAAAATTAACTATTTACTCAAATAATGTTTTATTGACCGTTAATTGTTCTCAATTTATCATACACTGAAAAAATTAAGTAAGTGCTCAAATAATGTTTAATTGATCATTAATTGTTCTCAAAGTGAAAAAATTAACTAATTGCTCGATTCATGTCTAATTGACAGTTAATTGAGTTGAGTCTCCATGGAATCCAGTAACAGGCTTACTACCTAAGAAAAACTACCATACTGGGAGGATTATGAATTATTATTTGTGTAAGCCAACCTAAGCTAATTTATTCGTAATTTACACAATTAATACCCAGTTGTCTCTATAGTTAAGTTATAAAGCATCAATTGTCAGCATTATATCAACAGTGCTATATGGAGAAGGATTATTATATAAATTCGTACTAGTGAAAAATAAAGGTATTTTATTTTGTAAAAGGAATACGAATGGGAGAGCCAGGCTATTTAAATAAGTATTCAAGAAATGTGAACATGTATAGATGACTCAAGATATTAGTTTTTCAACGAAGAAGACAATTGATACATAGTAGTGGTAAATGGTACACTCCTATTTATATATCTGCCTCTTTCTTTATGTAATAAAATGGGAAGAAAAATGCAAGAGCCACTGATAGAATAAATAATTAAATGAAAAATCGTTTTAGTTCTAAGCCAGCAGTGGTAATTTCCTGATATTATATAACACATGTGTATGTTGCTCTTTCAAGTCATGATATCACCTACTAAGCTAAGGTGATATTGGGACTGGAGTTCAATGCAGATGTAGGAAGATAATGTTGTACCTAAGGATTAACAGATATAATTTTTTCTGTGAGACAGCGCTGATGTTTGAAAATGGATGTTATTCTTTAAGCTTCGAAAGATTGAGAAGAGTGATATAGCTTAACTTGAGCAAGAAATAAACCTCAACTTGAGATGTGATTCTCTTTTAAATCTTTCACTTTTTAAAATAATAATCTGCAGGCTATATGGTGCTTCAGATAGAAATAGAAGACAACTCAAATATAGGTACTTGTAATATTGAAAGCGTTGGAGGTTTGTACCTTTTGATGGTCAAAAAACTTTTTCAATGCAGGAAAAACCTGCGAAAGCCGACAAATGAGCGCTGGAAAGTAATTATGTAATATTATCTGGAAAATCAAAGCGACATATTATAAAACTTTTTTTATGTAAATACTGATAGCTAAATGATAAACACAATTTAACTAAAGCATACACAATTTAATCACTCCACATCTGTTTCTGTATCGCGACAATGACACTCAATCACTTTCGCAAGAATGCGGTGCGAGCAGCTGTTTTTTAGAATACCAATCACAATTTTTGATAAATCAACGGCCTCTGCTTTGCTTTGCTTTCAAACAAATATGCTCGCAAGCAAAATGCATAATTGAAATCAAAATGCGAAATATTATATTGTCAGGCATTATATAGTCAGGCGGCGGAGATAAGATGTAAATGGTATTGTAAATGCAAAAAGCTGTTAATAAACAAAAAATGAGGCGGAGTATAATAATCTCGTGATTTCACAACTTTTTTCATGGCAATATAAAAAATAATTCAATTTTCGACACATGCATATGCATGCAAGCTGGCTATATACCATAAATATAAATGAACATGTGTACGTATGTAAATTTGTATGCTTGTCAGTCTGCCAGACGCTGTGTCAATCAGTGGAAATGATGCGAATTGAGGGCGCTGACAAAGAGCAAAAGGGGCGGCGCAAAGTAAAAAATACAATATAATAAATATAAAAGTGGAGAGCGTAGCTGCGCGCTTGCTAGCAAAAGGGGCGGCGCAAAGTAAAAAATACAATATAATAAATATAAAAGTGGAGAGCGTAGCTGCGCGCTTGCTTGCTGTAAAGTCTCTGCCACTTTCTACATTTTTTTTAATTTTGCTTCACTCCTTTGGCACGCCATAAGTACACCTGATTATGTGCCGTACGTATTAATATGCTTGTATGTTGTCATAAAAAGCGCGCCTTCACCATTTTGTATAAATGGCTTTTTTTCCTTCTCACTCATATTTAATACAATTTATTATAATGCAATAAATGTGAATGGCGCGATGGGCATAAGGGATTGCATACACACAGGTGAGCGCTTACACAAAGGGCGCCCGAGTGTAATGCCATAAAAATGAAAATGAACAAACACACACAACTGCACACACATATGGTATGTGTAGCTGCATGTGTGTATGAAGGATAGATGGAAAATGTGATAAAAAAAACCGAAAAAGTCGAAGCGCCGAACATTCACATTGCATTGAAATTGAAAGTAAATTTCGTTGTGCCATTCAACAGGGCGTATACGTAATGCGTTGAGCTTTCAAGCATTTTACTTGCTCTCACATAGCTGTGTACATATTTACACATATATAACTCAATTTGGCGCTGTTTGTTAGCTGCGCATATCACACAAGCACACACATACATATATATGCAAATATTTTTTTTTATTTTGTCAACACTTTTATGTGCACATATATATGTATGTGTGTGCATTTACAGCTGTATGCCTTTGTGTTCATATTAGTGAAAGTGTGTTTGTCTCCTCATTTGTGTATGCGCAAGGGCATATATAGGCGTTCTGCCCTACGATTTCCTCCTATAACTTACTGTGTAGATTTGTGCATCCTTTTTTGAGTTTATATTTGAATTTAAATACATTTACTTAGCTCGTGTCCCATTGCAGCAAACCACTAGCTTCACTAGTTTTGTTGCCACCAAAATGTCCTTTCGAAAGCATTGGTAATACATTTAGTTCAAACGTGTTGTTGTGTATAGTTTTGTATGGGTGGCATACCACTTTACTGTGCCATGGTTTGCAGAGTGAATCATCTAGTTCTGAGCTGGCTGTATTTCAACTAAGTAAAAAACATTGCATTTCACAATATTATGTCCGAGTTTTTATACCCTGAACAGAGTATACTAAGTTGACCATGATATTTGTACTTATAAAATACAATATATATATAAAAGATATTGATTGTCACGACGAGCTGGATCGATTTAGCCATGTCCTTCTCTCTGTCCGCCCGTCCGTCTGTATATATGCGAACTAGTCGCACAGTTTTTGAGATATCGATCTGAAATTTTGCACTTATCCTATCTTCAACAAGAAGTTGGTCACTTGTCGGAACGGCCGATGTCGGACGACTATAGCATATAGCTGCCATACAATTTTAGCAATCGAAATCAAGCGCTTGCATGGAAACCTTTGTCATTAGACGAGATATTGTCACCGTTGATCATTTATATACTTGTATATATATATATATGCATATCTAGTGTCTCCGACGTTTCCTTTTCAGCGTTACTTGGCAAGCTTAATATATCCCAATCAGGTTATATAATTTTAATAAAGTTAGCAAAATAATTTTGAGCTACCAATCCGCTGTTTGTAAACCATCAACTCCGATAGTAGTGACAAATACTCAAAAAACATTAATATGTGGCAAAAACTAGAGGATCAAAACTAGTCTCAGACCAAATTGGCTTTTATTTGCATCAACAACTTAAAGTAAGGTCAGTTAAAAGCAACAATTTTTTTGGTTTAAAAATCCACGTAGAACTTTTTTGTAGTACTTTCATTCCAAAAGGAATTGGATATTACTCAAATACCTGTTTTAGCGAAATCAAGGTGCAGGGGAATATATGCTATTAGACTGAACTTCCACAACATCGCCGATCCTTTCACTAAGCGTAAACGTCTTACGAAATGTTTGACCATATACTCGTGTATGTAGTTTTTTTTTTGTTTTTTAATCAAACCGCTAAAATTCGTGTATTCGGATTTTGTTTCTGAAGCAATGTTTTCTGCCTGCCACAAGCGATTTTCCGAATAAGTTTTGTTTCGCATTTTCCACGCTGAAATTATATCACATGATTCGCAAGTTAGAATTAGTCTTTTTACATGATATATATATCATTCTTTTCAATACTTAACAACTTACAACTGAAAATTCTTCGAAAAAAAGAAATATTTCTTCACTTTCTCTTTAATTTCATTACGTTAACTTTTGAAGTCAGACATTTGACTTTCATTGTAATATTTTTTCTTTGTAATTTTCACTCACCATTTGTACGCTCATGTCGCGCTTGTTGCTCGTGATCTATTTTTGCCTCTCCAATTTGCCGTTTTCGCTACAAGACATATGCACCTATTGCAAGTGTGCGCACGGACAATACGCCGACGAGCCGATTTGGATTGATATGGGCAAAAAGTATGAAATATCCGTGCTTGGACACTCGTGTGGACGACCGGTGGAGTACACGTGGAAGGCTGTCAGCGGCACTGGCGGTATGTTGTTTAAAAAACGATAATGTCAGCTTGTAAGTCTTGAAATACTTTTTCAGAGATTTTAGCCGATTTTGGAAAGACTACCGTTCCACGCGTTATTTGGATGCCATATACAGTGTCGGTGAGGCCTGATACAAAGGGCACAAATAATCGTATTGTCGTGACAAAGAGCGATGGACGCACAACGGGGCGTTGTGAGGTCAGTAGGTCAAAGAATTTGTAAATATGTGTATATGCCTTATAGTATAATCCATTATTTTTTTTTCTTAGTGCCACATAGACTTTGTCAATCTGGATATCTATAGTCACATCGATGGTGCTGGCATAATGTCAATTGGTCGGGAGCAAGCTATAGAGTTGGATGGCTCGCACAGCTACGATTTTAGCCAACCAAAAGGCAAGCAACGGTACACGTTTGAATGGCGTTGCCAACCAGTTGAGCACGATTTCAATAACCAATATTGTAAGAATGACACTATTTTGTGCACTAGTGAGTATTCACTTCATCAAAACAAATGCCTGCTCTATGCTCAGTTATTGTTGTTATCTCTATAGCTCCCAAATGTAATATAGACGGCAGATATCTCTCATTAATGGGTCTTTATAAGGTCACACTCCATACGAAATCCCTTGTTACTGGTGCAATTGCCGGTGATTATTTATACATAAAAGTCGAGTATGGCACCAAATTTCCATTGATGCTCCTTTGTGAACGCAACTGTTGGGATTACTTTTACAACGACGATTCAAGCATGTCTATACATGCTGATTGTATTGGCTATTGTGGCGACTTGCGCAAATTCTACTTTTCAGTTGACGATAAATTCATAACGACAAACAGTGATGGTAAAGTACATTTCATGCCACCGAAGGCGGCCTCATTCAAGTTTAATGTCACGCTCGTAGCAAACGGTATCGATAGCGAAGCAATAGCCACTTTCAAACGCAACGATCCACCGGCAGGTGGCAGCTGTACGATTACACCTCAGAAAGGCATACCGGGTGATACGCTCTTCAAAGTCGCCTGCGACAATTGGACTGATCGAAATTTACCGATTTATTATGTGCTAAAAGCAGGTAATCTGCTATATGATCGCACAACCGATCCGCATTGGGATATTTACGTGCCACAAGTAACGGCGCTCAACTTTCGCATATGCGACAACCTTGATGCCTGCCAAAAATACCAAGTGCCGATAGAGCTAACAAAACCGGACATACCAAAGGGGCTGAAAAATATCCTAGAGTACATGAAACAGCCAGCAAACAATGTGAAACGTTTGCTCGAAGGCGGTCAGTACGCACGCGCTGTGGTCAAAGCAACGCTTATGATGGCGGAGCAGCCGCTGAATGTAATTAAAAATGTGCTGTCGGCATTCAAGAACTTTAAGGCCGACTCCTTGACGGATCTGCGCCAACTGGGCACTATGACTAGCGAGCTGATAGATCCAATGGGGAACTTAACGAGCGAAAAGGTGAACGTGTTTAATGAACTGTTGGATAAAATGTGTGACGGTTTTGTCAAAGTTATTGAAAATGGCGACATAAAGGATATGCACAAGGAAGAAGTTAGGGATATGACCGAAGAATTGGTGGGCATGGTATCGAAGTTTTCAAATAATTCAGAGCAATTTGTTGACGTGCAATCGCTGTTGTGGGAATTCGAAGGTGGCATGATTCAAGTAGCAGATGAGCGCGCCGCTTTAGAGCCGAAGTTCGCACAGCTTATCGAATATTACGGTGCACATACGAAGCTTAATGACACGATCTTAACAGCCATTAATATATGGATGCATGCCATATGTCGTTCCTTCGAATTATTGCGTGACATTGGTGTGGCAAGTAGTCTCAAGGTGCATAAGGGTGATCAAGACTTTGTTGTTGATAAACTAACGGTGCAAATGATAACTTTCAGCATGAATAATAATAAAGATTTGACCGTGGTCTCATTGGACGAATTAACCACAGCGGTGCTCACTAAACCAATGCTACAGGATATGCAAGCGAAGTTGGGTGGCGCTGAAATGACTGCACAGATGATTTCGTTCAAGGAGAACCCATTCTGGTGGTATCCCACAGAACATCCCATTACCACTTCCGTCTTCTACTTCAGCGCATTCAGTGAAGCTGACCTAACGATTTCAGGTATCAAGCTCCAAGTACCGTTCAAATTTGAAATGCTGCAAAAACGCATACCAAAGAAGCCGCCTTTGCTACGTGGTTATGTGGAGGCTGCTGACGAAATGCCGATCTATCAAATACGCACGCCAGAGGGCGCCGCTGTCATTATCAATTTCATAAAAGTCGAGATGGATATGGAGGTGCTGGTACAATGCAATAAAATGCCAAATCTGAAAGCAGTGCGTGAAGAGGGGAAGCAAGTGAAGTTGAATATCACAAGCAATGAGATCCGCAAAAATGGCACGAAATATGCAGATTCGAATTATGGCGACAAAACTGATTGGTGTTATGTGGCACTAATCGCCGCAAAGGGGGCGCAAGTGCAACGTAGAGTTCATTATGCCTTCACAGTGGAGCTATACGAATGCCTCTCTTGGAATGTCAACTTGGATAACCCCACATGGCAGAGTGAGGGTTGCGTCGCTGCAATCGATCCAGAAGGTGGCGATAATATCACCTGCCTTTGCTATCACATGTCCATATTCTCTGGTTGTTCCTACTACAGCACAGCCGATGAGACGGTGCGCGATCGCAGCCTAAAGCAACACTTGGATGTTAACTGGTATGTAGTGGCATTCTACATCTTACTACTATTGGTTTTCTTGTGGTTGCTGCTACGCGCTTGTGACGATCTTACAACGAACCATGACAAGTTGTTCACCGAGTTGAGTGAAAACGATCAATACATGATGCGAAATATTGCGTTACATATAACCACGGGTAGTCAATGGACTGCAGCAAGTTCGGCAAATATACTGATTTCATTGCCAAGCGGTCAAACGTACACGGTCACACAAAATCCAGAGCGTCCCTTTCTGAGGCCGCATACAACTTGCGTGCTGGAACTGCCTGTACATGCCAATCAACTCAAGGCACCGCTGCAGATAAGTCAAGATAAAAGTGGCCGCTATCCATCGTGGTACTGTGAGGCCATAACTATTGTCAATCTAACGACTGGCCAGAAGCAACACTGCACGGTACGCAAATGGATTGGTAGAACGCCGGTGCGTGTGCAACCCGATAACACCGAGGATGTAAATGACAAGGAGGACATCAAAAGCGAAAAGTTGTCAGGAGCGCAAAGATGGAAGAAAATTAAAGCCGCCTATCATGATGTATTCATGGCTTGGTTTCTCTTTCAGCCGCTCTTCGGTAGCTGGAATTATGGCATGATCGAGTCGAATCGTTTCGTGCGCAGTTGCATTTGGATTTCCAAGTTCGCGATTATACTTTTGTTAGTGTTTTTATATTTCGGTGAAACCAATTTGGATAATTACGAAGCGGAGCGATATGATTTTCAGACTTTAATACAACTTATCGATGGCTGGTTTGTGCTCTACCTTATCGCTTGCTATTTCATAACGTTGACATTGGAATTGTTGTTGCTCTTGTTTGTGTATCCCGACTTCTGGAGAGGTTTCAAAGGCTCAGCCAATAGAAAAGATATTAATTTGCAGACGAAAGTGAATCCATCCTCAAACGAAAGCTACGCAGAAAACAAGTCAAATGATAAACGAAACCTTAGCACAGAAACAAACCTTGAAAGTGAAAAAGGATTTATGATGTATTAGTGAGTGGGTGGGAGAGGCACAGGCGGAAAAAGTAGTACACCTTATAAAAATTGTTACATAATCTTATATACAATTGATTTAACTAATGACTTAAGTTTAGATTTTTTGTTATTTTGTTACTCTTCATATATTTTCATCATTATCAGTTGTTGTCACAATAGTCCGTTAGTTGCTTGTTCGTTGTTCATATATTTATTTGAAAATTTTTATATTATGCAGCGTCTACCAGTAGGAATGATGTGATTTTGACAGCTCGTGGCGGCCATGTTTGTTTACGGATTAGTGTACAATTTTGTTCGTGTATTCAGTTGGTACAATGATTGGGAATTATCCAATATTATTACGCAAATCCATATTCCCCGATGGGTACTGTGCTTTTATTCCACGAAAAATCATTTTTTCAGATAAGGCCCATTGCTGGCGTAATGGCTTTGTCAACAAACATAATTGTCACTATTGGACTGAGTCAAAGCCTCATGCGGTTCAGGAAGCGTAATTGCATTCCAAAAACACAAAAAAATAATAATCCATTTTGAACAAATTCAAGTGTCTTATTTCATTTTAACATCACGTCATTCTTGTTGGTGGACCCTATACATACGTTCTTCCGCAAAAATAAAATATATTATGTAACTCCTAGTCTCCTTTTGGCATGCTTTCATCCATGTTAAAAGATGAAATGCTTAAAAGAGATAAAGTTCTTTAGGCGATTTGGCTTTCTGCACTTTAACCGCATAAAGTCATTTCAGCTAAATATGCACCGCTAATCAAAAAGTCTGAAAAGTTGCAGAGAAGCTGCTATTTGTGGCTTCTGCTCTAACATAAGATCTGACAAATGTAAGAAACTCATGCTGGCTTATAAAAGCAAATTCACTAAAACTGTCAAAATTCTTTTACGTAACTAAAGTAAGGTTTCGAAAGCTTTGAAATGACAATTACAGCTGGCTTAATTTGATTCATAATCATTCAAATGAACCTACCCTGCAATAAAACAATCTAGTGGCATAAATACCCACAATATCATACAGGTAACAAACACATTCTCTTGTTGTTAATATTAAAAAAGGGGAGTAGACAAAGGAATCATTTCACATGAATTTGTGTCACACAAATACCAAATTAATAAAAATCAATTAGCAAAATTACAAAGGAATATATATATAACAGTAAATAGTGTATAACAATGCCACCAGCTGTTCGTGACATCAGCAGCAAGGCGTCGTAGAAAGCAGGTCAGCGTTCAGAAGAAGCACGAAATAAATAAAGATAATAGCTCTTAGCCAAAAATCAAAAACGTGTCGCAAAGAAACGAATGCTAGCTGCCAATGTGAGCAAGAATACGTGCAAAAAATGTGATTTCCCTGCAGTTGAGGAGAGTACAACAGAAACACTTTATTTAATAAATATTATTCTTGGCGTGTATGGGGAATTGGGAGTTGGTACAGGTAAATAGCAAAAGCAACAAACAATGTGGTGAAACAAAATAGTGCCATTACTTGAATAAATAAAGCGAATTCTTGCTAAAGCAACAAAATCAAAGCGTTTAGCTGCGAGGGGCTTTGAAAACTTGTTAGATGAGAGGCAAATGTCAGGAGCAGAGACTAATATTTTCTAGGTTCAAAGAACAGTATTTAGAAGCCAAAAGCAGAGAACGTTATTTTAGCAGTCATATTTATTCGAAGAAAGAATTCAGTTTTCTTTTTGAAAGAGCATTTTGCTTTAGATTTGTGCTTAAGCTCAATCAATTTATTGTATGAAGCTACATATTAAGAAGGTGTGTAGCTTGGCAGCCTCACACGCAAAATAAGCTGAAGTGTAAAGAGTAAGATTTGGTAGCTAAAATAATACTCAGTCAAAAACATAATAAATTTATGAAGTACCTTAGGTGGATGAAAAAAAATATGTCGGAAGTTTTTTTTTTTTTGCCTGTTTAACTGTCAATGATATCTTAAGGCAAAAGTCAAAGCGAAACGTTATGCTTTGATGAAAAATTTTTGCCATCTACGAATTGCAATGAAATGAAACCCTGCTGTTGTACCAAGTAGCGGCAGAAAATATTTCTGAAGTAATCTCGAGGCATGGTGCTGAGTTGACAGTCCTTGGACGGATAAAAATCCGGGTTCGTTTCCAGTCACTTAGACTCGACAGTCGAGGGAACGGGTAATTAAAAAAAAAAAAAATTATTACCACTCTAGGACTTATTAAATTTATCAGAAGCTCGAAATTCTAAGCATACTTTTAGGCACACAAACGTGGTGACAAACTTTTGACACCTGTGAGTCACCGCAGAATGTAAAGAGTCGCAAATTAAATATTGGCGCTCAGAGCAGTATTTCTAGTAAACTTAAGACCTATTGATTTCATCAGCAGTTCAAGTATATAAGCATATATTTATTCAGGTACCCGAACACTACTTTACAAATGTATAGTGACTAAATAACACCGCCAATAATTAAAAATTGCCCAATATAGCGATCCGAAATGGCTCGGATTGTGTGCTTTCAAATCGAAATATATACCTAATATTTAGAAAATTACTACCAAGGAGGAGGCGTTCCCAACTTTGCCTCAAAAATTTTTAGAATTTCTACAATGTACGACTTAATGTTCTAAACCTTCGTATTTCAAGCATATTAAGTGACTAAAATAAATTTACTACTGAATTTCTGGTTTTGGCATACATTAAACTTGATACGTTTTATTTAGGGTATTAAAATTCTAAAGAACACACGTTTATTATATATTGAAGACGAATTTTTGGTTCAAACTTACAAAATTTGCATTTTATGGCACCCTTAACGACTATTAGCTGTATGAGCTTACTTCGAATATGCGTTTACCTTAAAGCCAACTAAAAACTGTAGAGATATTTTGTAATACAAACGTCTCCTAGTGCCTCACAAACTCTTACTTCAATTTGGAAAGCTTGCACGACCCACAAAGGATGTCATTAGCTGTACATAAATGTCTTCAACTAATGACGTTAATAATTTATAAAGAAAGTGAAAAGAATATAGCTAAGCGGAGATTCTAAACACAATGCCAAAAATATATTAAAGTAATCATAATTTCCATTGTCTACGCTTAGAAGCGTGTCAGCGCTGATAACTACAAGGCGACATTTAACATGCCACACGTTAGTCATAAAATATTGAAGAGCGGAAAATATGCGAAATAAATGTGACAGACACCCATCCATAAATATTGCTGAAACTTTTCCACCTTGTGGACATATAGAAAAAACTTTGCGTGTGACAAATGGACAAAATTAAAGAGAGCACCTACGGCGCACGTGTGTGGCAAGAGAATGCAGTATATGAATTGAGTTCGAAAAATTAGTGGATAATCGTAAAAATTCCACATTCAAAACGTGCGATAAGAAAAATATAAGAAATTATAGATTAGAAAGAAAAGGTGTTAAAATATTAATATGAGAAGGTGTGGCATGCGATAAATGTATATGTATGTGTTGCAGCATAATAAATATTGAACGAGGCGCGAAGGTAAAATGGCACACATTGCGCTATAAGCATGCCACATATTAATTTTTTTCTTGTAGTGAATTAACTAAGTGTTGCCATCAGACAATATTTGTTTTTGATATGATAGAAGGCAAGATGTGTGTACCTAATAAGTGTTCTGAAACATGTAATAATGGAAATGTATGTATTTAACACTCTTTTCTTTAAATTAGTCTTCAATTGCAATTCTCACCGGCTTTATAAAAAAAAACTTATATAGCAATATTATATTTTGGACTTAATTTATCAGCTGAAATAACTTAAATTCTCTCAGTCATTGAAAAAACGTTTAGTAGAAAATCAATAAACGACAATTTTCAGTGGCAACATACGCTCCTCATGCATTCTAAAATTACCTAAACGTATAGTTTTGTCATCAGCGATATTGAAAGCCATAAATATGTGGTAGAAGGTGTGTCCTTAGAATTTATTTAGTGTCTTATATTTAATTGCCATATACTCGCCCAACTACCTTTCTTAAAATTTTCTTTTGTTTTTCGGCAAGAAATTATTTAATTTCTTTCAATCACGCGCACATTTTTCACATTTACATTAATTGTTAGGAGTTAAGTGCAGTCTAGACAGTCATGTCACACAAAAAATAATTCAGAAAGTTTTGATAATATTAACCATAAATGGGTCAGACTTGTATGGTAAGATATATGCATAAAGAAGGGATAGTGCGGACATAGAAAAGTTAACTATGTATGACCTTTACTTGAGGCCAACATCAAATAAAGAAGAATATGAAATCTACCAAACTCGATTGCATTTTATTATTACAATTTTTACGTTTAAAAATATTGTATTATGCATACATATGCTTGCGGTAGAAGTCATTCTTAGAATAATAAAACTCAAACTAAAATTTTGAGTGAAATGTGGAGCTCTAAAAACCGCTTACGGACTGAATAGCTTATTACACAGCCTTTCATATGTTAAAAAGAGAGTACTTGTATAATATTGGAAGATACCTTTTGAAATAAGTTGTTAGAAAAGAGTACCTGACCATATAGCATGATTCTTGATATCATGCGACAATTAAGACTCTCCAGCCTATTTGGTTGGCTGAAGAATTTAATAAACGAATTTTTGGTCAAAACGCCAGTCCATGGTTTATACTTTTTACCCAAGAAGTTGTATAGAAAAAAAAAACCAATATATTTTTTTTGCTCTTTTGGGTGCTGATTGCTACAACCCCTTTAGTCATTCTGTTATGCCTGCTTGATACATTTAGCAGTATATCTTTAAAGAATAAATATTTTCGTAAAATATTTATACTTTCCACACATACATATGTATGTTCTGAATACTCAACCACTAACAACGTATTATTTTCACCTCCCACGAAATTTCCGGCCAACACTTAAATTGTTTGTGAATTTTCCCGCACACACACACATACATGCGCGTGAATATGTGGCTGTTTAGCGTTATTACCATAATTTAGCCATTTGCAGTAGATTTATCAATAATTTTACGCCCAACCGTGGCAAATTTGCGCTGCAAATAAACACACATGAACACGAAGGCTTTAGCATATGGTTTGTAGAAATGTATACACACACATACAACATTTTTAACACACATAAATAATCGACGGCACGGCTTTAACCCTTTCAGCGGCGTACGTGCTCAACTAGCCTGCGGCAAGCAAGTGAATTATCAGCTGCAAGCATACACATTCAAACGCATATGCAAGTGCTGCAGCAACGCCTATAGTTGTGTGTGTGTATGTGAGCCAAGTGTGTGTGTATATAGGCTGACTCCAGTGCGCTTCATAAATTCCACTTAACTGCGTTGCATATAACTTTTTTTACAACACCAATACACTGTCAGTATGTATGTATACCGCTATTGCATAACGCCCACTCACTGTGCTGGTGGGATGCCGATCTTTTTTACCACAAACTTATTCCGCACCTCAGACCCTTACAGTGTTCACATCGCAAATGCCTGTAGCTCAATCTTATATATTTATATGCAACTTATTAACCCCCCCCCCCAGCCCAGCTGGAACTACGTCATTTTTCGACAGCACCATATGTTAGTAGCCTTTAGTTTTATACACAATGCACAACTGTATACGCAGGATTCCGAAATTGAGTATGTCCCGACTTGTAGGCAATTTTCCTACTCGATTTCATGCCTTTATTGGATTTATCGGAGAACAAAAATCAAAATTATGGCTATTCATAATCTCAATTATACAAGTTCGAAGTTTGTAATAACTTGAGGTTTTACCAACCCATATTTTTAAAATGGTTTGAAACCTAGCTAATATCAAAATAAGAGTTTAACATTAACAGTTATTGCTGAAAGCTGGCGCTGTTAACAGCTCAAGTTTTATAAATTATTTGGTGTAGTAAAAACGTTAGTAGCGCTAGCTCTCTTTCACGCTATTTGGTCTGCACCTTCTGAAGCACAGCCTAGAACCTTTAAGCGTTTTAATATTAGTCGATTAACCATAACAACAGCTTGTGCTCTGTGTACAAAAAATCCCTACACCCTTACCTATCTAGCCGAGAATACCTCTTCTTTGTATACTCTCCACAATATGTGCTTTCATCTACTTGCCATACGCGCTTTTTTGTTCCATTCAACAATTTTTATTATAACGA